CTGCCTCGGTGGGGCTGCCGTTCTGGCTCTGGGCAGGGCCCTGGCTTTGGTCGTGTATTGAGCCTGTCCTGTGTTCTGAACCTGGATGAGGCACGGGGGTATCAAGACGCAGGGGATGCTGTCTGTGCAGGCCTTTAACGTGTCCCCAGGCTTGTCAGCGTTAAATAGCAACATGCGAGAGGCTCTGTGTCATTAACTGGAGAGGAAGGAGGTAATGGGAGTTGGAATAGTCAGGGTGGGCTTCCTGGAGGAGAAAGGATCTCTGCTGCTTCTTAGGGGTGAGCTTCCCTAAGAGGAGGCTGGAGGGAATCACAGGTTGGGGGAAGGCACAGACAATCGTTTGAAAGTTTTCCCCTCTTTGGTGTCCATTGGCATTAAGCTAGGGGGTTGCTTCCTGCGTCCCTCCCGTCCTCCCTCCCTCCTTTCTTCCACACACACCTCTCCAGGGCACCCACTGCGGCCCAGCACACAGCCGCTCCCTCTGAGCGCCCTGTTTTGTTGGGCGGCACAGGGCGGGCGTGGCTTGTGAATTGGGGCCTGGGGACTCTGAGCTGGAGGCTTGCTGGTCGGGGCACAGCAGAGGGCTGGGGCGGGGGCCAGCCCCTGTGTGCTCCGTGCCCTGCTGGGTGGGGCCTGGGAGCAGGGCTCTTTCAGCAGAATAAGCCCGGCCAGCTTGGGGTCGGGGAAGGTCCCAAGAGGCCGACTCATAGCCCAGTCCATCCTTGCTTCACCGGCCTGAAACCATGCCCCAAATTCCACCATTGGAATCATTCCTGCGAGTTAAAGAACTGTCTACAGAGGGGCCCTGTAAATACGGAAATAGGTTACTTGAACGAGAGGCCCAGGAGTCATTCAGCTCACCTCCGGCCACGCACTCACGTCCACAAAGCCCGCTGGGCTGCCAGGCGAGGTGCTAGGCTGGCTGCAGCGCCAGCATGCACAGGGTGCTGGGTAGCCGTGGTCACCTGGGGAGATGGCTGTGCCTGGAGGAGCTGACGGGCCTCCCCTTCCCATGGACGGGGAGTGGAGCTGGTGGAGACCAGACTGGCGGCTTTCCCCAGCCTGTCCGCCTGGGAAGAGTCTGTCCCACAATCCACACCTGGGCAGAGCGCCACCAGTTCTCCTGCCTCCCTCACGGCTCCGGAGACTTGCCCTTCCCCAGCATGTCTGAGCACCCGGGCGGCCCCAGGGCAAAGGTGGATAGAGATGAAAAGGTGGTATTGGGAACATGGTGAGGCTGTGAGCCAAGAGGAGGGGGCTCTCACCTGGCTCCCCTCGCTGCACCCCAAGGGTCTAGCTTTTGGGGGCTGGGGCCTGAGAGCCCAGAGGCCTCTCGCCTGTGTGAACTGACCCTTGACTCTGGAAGGGCCCAGGCAGGAGCTGGTGCCCTGGCTATGGCCCCGCCCCTGGGAACTGAGTGCAAGGCTGGTCCCCAATCCATTTGCCTTTTATTCTTGTGCTTGGGTTTTGTTCTGTTTTCTTAGTTTGGGGAGAATAAAAAGAAGCTCAGTGAAAAATAATGGGGGTTTAAGAAGTCACAGTTGTTCCCTTCCGATCTGGTTGCTGCTTGTTCTCTCTGGCTTGGGCCCCAATTGCAGAGGGAAGGGCTGGAGTCGGAATGTGTGACAGTCCTGCTTGTTAAGACTCAGAGGGTCACAGGGGGGCTTCCCGGGGTCTCTCAGGCCCTCCGTAATCAGAGGCCTCAGCTGGGATGGGTAGGGACTTCCCCGGGGACCCATCCTGACTGTGTGTGGGGTAAATATGGCCTACAGTGGTACCCCCGCTCCCCTCACATCCCTGTTCACTGGAGAGAATGTTCTGGAAAGTGCTGTTGCCTGTGAGCTATTGCTGGGTGGAGATGACCCCTCCCCTCTGCCACTCATCCGTGCTCCTCCGGGTTGTCATCCCTCTGTGGCTGGCTCTGTCCTTCCCTGGAGCCAAGGAATCCAGCAGGAGAGTGAGAGGGAAGCCAGGTGGGGAGGCAGCGGAGAGCCCGCCGGGGCTGGGCTGGGCACGGGCTTGGACCTGCAGCCTTCCTGGTGATTCCCCGGGGACGGATGCTCCTAACCCACCCGGGCTTGAGCTTTCCTGGCTGTTTTGGAATGGGGGGGGTGGTCTGAGCACTGGGGAAAGGACTTCAAAGAAGGACCCCGTCCACATCCCCAGCCCCTTGCTCTGCAGATGGAGGCAGGCCCTGGGGGGAGGCAGCCTCGGCCTGGCTCCCACCCCCACCCCCGGCCTCTGCTCTGGGCGGCTCCTTTAACTCTCAGGGTATTTTTACCTTTCCCTTGTTCGTGTGCCATGATCAAAGGAAGGAGATGAGGCTAAAAGAGACAGTGGCTTTCCTGGCTCTTTGAGAAGCTCAGAAAAGGCAGGCCTGGTAGGACTGAGGGCGGAGAGGGACCGGTGGCCAGGGGCTGGGACCTGTCTGGGGGAGGGAGTCTGGGGGGAAGTGGCCTGCTGGGGGCTGGGCCCTTGATCCTAATCTGCGGGCTTTGCCTTCTCCTCTCAGAGGTGTGCTTCCCCGGCCCTTGTCCTTCCCTGTGTGTGTGTGTGTGTGTGTGTGCGCGCGCCCGTGTGTGTGTGTGTGTGTGTGTGTGTGTGTGTGCTCGCTCGAGTTTGTGTGCCGACGTGCTCAGGCCTCAAGGAGAAGCCACGTTGAGACCTCACGAAGGCTCTGGAACACTGGCAGGGCCTGACTGTCAAAAGCTGCTGTGCATTGATCTCTTAGCCGGAGTCGGCCCTGCTGAAGCCTTGGCACACAGCCTGTCACGGTGCCAAAACTCCCTGCGTTTGAAATTCATGGAGGCCAGTCGCAAACCCACAGGACGTTAGAGCTGGCGGGGCCCAAGAGAGCGCCTCGCTGGGCCGGGGCAGCCTGCACGAGCTTGCGCCACGGCAGCTGGTGCCTCGGTTTCCCCATCTGTGCGACAGGGCACAGTTGCCGCAGGGCTCCTGGGGGTGCGAGGGCTACGTGGGAAATGTGAGCAAGCACTTGGGACAGTGGCTGGCACAGTGGCTGGCACACAGCGGTGGTGTCACTGCTGTTGCTTCTCCATGGAGCACTGTCGGCGTTCGGACAGGACGGGCGTCAGCGTGGTGGACCCTGCCTGCGCACACCCTCCTAGGTGACTCCCCATCTTGCGACAACTGAACATGTGCTCCCAGGGGCCTATTTCCAGTGTGACCCTAGACTGTTCTGCTCCAGCCCACCCATTTTACAGATTTTACTGAGGAATAGAGGGACACGCCTCACCTCCACCAAGGCAGTAGTGGGACTGCGAGGTTTGTCTGTGACTGCTCCAGTTTCTCTTTTCTGAATTTCCTGGTCCTGTATCAGCAACACCCCCCATGTCCTCTCACTCCGCACAGCCGTCTGGCACAGAGATCCATCAGCTGACAGGAGGCGTGAGAGCCACCAGCTCCCGAGAGCACAGCCTCCCTTGGATTTTAACTGGCCTGAAGCGCCCCGCCCAGTGCTGGCCCCAGCCCCAGGTCGCTGCATTCTGGCTTCAGGGGAGAGGGTGGCCTTATGCTGGCGTAGTCCTGGAGCACCTTGACTTGCTGTGTGGCCTTGGGAGAGTTATGCGGTTCATCTGGGCTACTGGGTCACCTGCAGAATGGGGCTGGGAGAATGGTGGCCGTATTCTTGGTTTCTGAGGAGCTCATGTGCAGAGAGCGTTTTGATGAAGGGGTGAGATTCGGAGTGAGGGTCAGAAGGCCAGGAGCTGAGACAGACTCGGGCACGGCACCCTCCCCGTCCCTCTCCTTGCCCAGAGCTGGAGTGGTCAGGGCCTCTGTGGCGGGAATGCCAGTGCTGGGGGGGTGGCCCCCAGACCAGCCTTGGCCTTGGCGGAATCGCCGCGTCTCGGGGAAATCTCCGAATGCCGGCACAAGCTCCTCTTCCAACTGCCTGGGGAAACCGAGGCACAGAGTGGACAAGTGGCTCGCTGGCCTTCGTAACAAACCTCAGGAAAGGGGCATTGGGGTCTGCCACCCAGCCAGGCCCTGACTCAGCTTCCAGCCCTTCTCCCTGCGGCCCCCTAAGTGGTGGGGAGGGAGGTCGCGGGCTTCGAGCAGGGACGCTGGGGTGAGGGAAGGAACCCCAGGGGAAATTAGCCCGAATTAGCAGTGAGAATGAGGAAGAGCTGGTGTTCTCGTCTCTACCCTCGCAGATAAATATTTAATCACAACAACAATAATAATGATGATGATCTTAATAATGTGCAGTAGCTCAGGCCGCAACCCGAGCCCCACTCTCAGAGGGAGGAAGTGGATGGGGGAGGGAAAGAGAAATGGAGAAATTGGGAGATAAAGACAGTGGGGGGGCAGGGAGGCGGGGGAGGCTTGCTGCTCACGCAGGGGACAGGGCTTCGCCCTCGGCGGGCGGCTGCGGTGGGAGTGTGGAAGTGGAGGGTCCCCCGGGTGCCCGGTGCCCGGCTCCCCGGCCCCAGGCCTGCAGAGGAGCAGCTCCGGCCCTGCCGTGCAGGGTGCTCCTCTCAGGGGCCTCGTTCGCCCTGAGTCTCTGAAGAGCCCAGTGTCTCTGGTTTGTGAGCCAGCTGGGAGCTGGGAAGCCTGGCTCTGTCTGGCCTTCTGCCGAGCACTCCCTGTGTGGCGCAGGCGAAATGCTGTCCCACTCTGGGCCTCAGTTTGCTCCTCTCTGCAATGGGACTGGGCCGTAGGACTGGTTGCTTTCTACGCCGTCCGTGAGTGTGTTGAGAAAGGCCCCTCTTCCTGCCGGGCGGTGCTCACGGACGCCTGGGCTGATGGCAGTGGGCACAGGCCTTAGGAAGCTTCAAGAATGACCCAATTTCTGCTGTACGCTCTCCCACTTAAGCCAGAGTGGAGCAACAGCCGGGAGGAAACCAAGTTGGGGAGATTTATGGAGTCTTTGGCGATAGCCTCCAGCATCTCCCTCGCTGGGCTCCCGGCAGAGATTGGAATAGCTAATGTCTTCCTTGGGCTTCTTTTTGATACTGTCTCTCTCTCCCCCTTCTAAGGTTGGTAGGAGGAGAGGGTCGGAGCCGTTTTCTCCTTGATGCCAAGATACGCCAAGCTAGGAGCGCTCTTCCCTCTCCACGGTCACCCGCCGAGGACAGGCCTGCAGGAGGGGACGAGGATCGGAGCTTCCCTGCAGCCCCGGCCACCGCCTGCTGCCGTGGGCCTGCGCTGTGCGGCCGCTCGAGGAGGCGGGAGCGCGGCAGCATGGTCCGAGCCGCCGGCCACCCTCGGCCGCCCCGCTGCTGAAGCCGCCCTGCCCGTGCACACCTGGGCCGTGGGGCCAGGGGCCTGCCAGGGCTAGGAGTGGGGCCTGCCACCCATGGGTCTCTAGGGATTTCCGAGATGCCTGAGAAGACAGGCGTGGGCTGGTGGTGGGCGCAGCTGCCCCTCTGCCTGCTCCTCAGCCTCTGCAGCCCCTGGGTGCCTTCCTCCCTGGGGAAGCCCAAGGGCCACCCCCACATGAATTCCATCCGCATAGATGGGGACATCACGCTGGGAGGCCTGTTCCCGGTGCATGGCCGGGGCTCCGAGGGCAAGGCCTGCGGGGAACTGAAGAAGGAAAAGGGCATCCACCGGCTGGAGGCCATGCTCTTTGCTCTGGACCGCATCAACAACGACCCGGACCTGCTGCCCAACATCACGCTGGGCGCCCGCATTCTGGACACCTGCTCCAGGGACACCCATGCCCTCGAGCAGTCGCTGACCTTTGTGCAGGCGCTCATCGAGAAGGACGGCACGGAGGTCCGCTGCGGCAGCGGCGGCCCGCCCATCATCACCAAGCCTGAGCGCGTGGTGGGGGTCATCGGTGCTTCGGGGAGCTCGGTCTCCATCATGGTGGCCAACATCCTCCGCCTCTTCAAGGTCAGTGCCTGGCCCGTGGGCGCCCAAGGTGCTCTTCCCCCACCCGCCCTCCACACCTGCGTGCCGGCCCCTTCCCCTTTCTCTTCCCGGCTCCTGGGCGGTTCTCTCCTTCGAGCAGTCCCCTGGTTTCGAGTCGCCCTCTGGTCCCGCGTGCGCACGGCAGGGCGAAGGCGTCGGGAGGGACCCTGGCTGGTGCTGACTGTGGAGCTGAGTCTGCACCTGCCTCCGGAGCTGCGGAGCCGCCCCTCCCTGCGGGAATTCTGAGCTGGGAGGGAAGAGGACGGGCTGGAGAATGACAGGGAGGAGGAGATCACACACAGATGTAAAAAGAGGGACAGGTGGACAGACAGAAAGGCAGACAGAAAGATAAAGAGAATGCACATATGAGCCTTGGAGATTGCCCAGGAGAAAAAGCAAGACTTGTTTTGACATTGTTTTCAAATAATTGCAATTCCCAAGAAATATCTGTTTTTCTTCTGGTTAGTTGAGGAAGCCGGTCTCGGCCCTCTGGTTAGTTGAGGAAGCCGGTCTCGGCCCTCTTGTGATTAGAGAAAGTGTCCTCATTTTTCGGATGGGGGTGGGGCACTGAGCCTGCAGGGAATGCAGGTGAGGGCAGGAAAACGGAGGCGGGAGGGAGTGGCTGCTCTCTCTCATCCCTCGTGTCCTGGGCCCTGCACCAAGCTCCCTCTGCTTCCACCCTCTGCCCTTCTCCCTCGCACACCTTTCTCCTTTTCCTTCTGGAATCCTCCCTGCCCCCTCCTTGCCGCCTCCCTTCCTCTCTTCCTGGGGCAAGAGCTGCTGATTTGCAATTCAATTGGAGCCAAGTGCTTCGCTAAGCTGCTGAAACAACCGGGTAGAGAGAAAAACATTACAAGCATTTTACCAATAATTATGTGCCCGCTTCTCTCTTGGAGCCTGCCTTGTTTGCTCTGTGTGCGTGTGTTTGTGCATGTTTGTGTGTCCCTGCGTGCGCGTGTGTGTGCATGTAGAGGACGGGGAGAGGGAAGAGGAAGGGGCTGAGAGGAAGCCACTGGGTCCCTCCCTCACCCTGGCGTCAGACTCTCAGCCTCGGGGCTGGCCCCGTCTCAGGCTCCAGCGTCAGGGAGTGGGCTGACAAGGCTGTTTGGCACCGAGCAGGGTGGGGAGAGCTCAGGCCTCCCCCTCCCTGGCACCTGTCTGGAAGCCATTAGCCATCTCCCGTGGTGCATTAGGATGTGGGGCGTCTGTGGGACGGGAGAAGGGGGGCTGAACGGAGAGGAAGGTCCTAGTGCTGGGGGGGTGAGGAAGCTGGTGGGGGCGGGAAAAGGAAGGAGGCTAGAGTTGTGCTGCCACGGTGTCTGGTGGGACAGGACTCAGACTGAGAACGTGTGTGCCCTGCCTGTGCACGCCACCATCCCAGGGTCCCTGGTGTGCCTCGAACCTGGGCCTTTCCCGCAGTGTTGGTTTTACTTGATGATCTGGATGAAAACACAATTTTAATTTTAAAACAAGTGGATGCATTACAAAAAATGCAAAATTTGCAAGCAGGAGACTTGAAGAGCATTTTGCCTTTGCAGTAGACAAGTTGAACAATCCCGGGCGGTGTTGCTCCTGGTCATATTTCAGGGTTCCTTGGCAGGATGGTTTGGGAATGGGTAGCCAGGCCTCCCACCCTACCCGATTTTGCAGTGGAGTGGAGACCAGAGGGGAGGACTTGGGCTGGGCGGGTGCAGGCCAGGGCCTGGTGATGGCTTGGGCGGCTGAGTCATCACGTCAGCCTCCGGCCCAGGCCTGGGAGCTGAGGCAGCCTGGCCCATCCAGCAGGAGGGGACAAGCGCCGGACTCCTCGGCACCTGTAAGGGCGGGACACAGACCCGCAGCCTCTGGGAAGGCCACGCCGCAGGTGAGGCTGCTGAATTCTCTGCATCTGAGCTCTTTATTAAGCACCTTTTGTGACTCTGGGTCCTTTAGAAAGGTGGTAAATAGGCTGGTCCCACCCGTGGAGCTGTGACATCAGCGAGGGTCCCTGCCCCATCTTCCAGAGAGGGAGTGCCCACTTTACAGGGAGCTTCGGGAGCCCACCACTTGGCATAGGGCAGAAGCTCACAGAATACCACTCTCACCAGAACGGCCCTAACGTGTGTTCTCAGGAACACAGATATTTTGAGCAGGGGCACCCAGTGCCCTAGACAGAGGAGTGGGCTGCGATTTCCGTGCTAGCCTCTCCCCGGATGGGGAAGGGCCAGGTGGTGTGAGGGGCCTCGGGCCAAGGCGCCTTACCCTGGCCCCTCATCCTCTGTCTGTGTGGTCAGATGGGAGCGCGGCGCCCGTCAGTTTGGTCTCAGGTCACGGGGGGGGGGGGGTCAGGAGCCCCCAGCCTGCAAGAGGGCGAGGGACACCCTGGAAGATGGAGGCCTGGGGAGTGGAGAAGGAAGGGGGCCGGAGGGAGGAGCAGTGGCTGCGGTCTGCATTCCCTGGGTCCCTTTTAACAGCGTTAATGTTCCAGGCTGGTGACAAGAGGCCTTCTCAATAATTAAACTGATAGCAATGAGAGGCTAGGCGAGAAACTTAAAAGCTGTTTACAGAAGCAAAAAGAGTGAGCTTTGGGGAAGGAGAGGGTGCAGGCCCTGGGGGGGGGCCCTGTGCGGCAGGTGTCTATTTCAAAGGGCAGGCTGGCCCTGACACACAAGATCAGTGCGGCTTGCTGGGCGCTTGGCACCACAGGCTGTGATTGCTGCTCCCCCCTCCAAGGGGTGGCTTCCAGCGCCTGCTCAGAGGGGACCTCTGGCTCTGGGGCGCCTGGACGATTTCCTGCCTGGAGAATGATAATGGGGTGCAGTCAGGGCCAGGCTGTGAGCAACCTCCAGTGCCAGAGCTGGAAGGGGCCAACTCCCTGCTCTACAGACGTGGAGAATGAGCCCCGATTGAGTGACAGGGCAGGGCTGGAAGCCAGGTCCCCTGCTTCCAGGCCTGGCTGCTTCCAGAGTGCCTGCTCGGATCGACTGAACTGGAAGTGGGACTTGAACCCAGGTCCACTTTGGGGACAGAAGTCCTGACTCTGGGAATTCATAGGTTTGACACTTAGGTCCCTGAGTTTTCTGCTCTCACCCTCTTCCTTCATCCATGTCTTGTCCCCTTCTCCCCGGACAGGGAGTCTTGATGGCTGTGGAGAGTACCTTTCAAAGGGGATCCTAAGCCTAGACGTTGTAGCCTGCACGTTGGTATGTTGTGCGGACAGCCCAGGTTCTGCAGCCGGTCAGGCCTGGGTTTTGAATCCCTGCTTCACCACAGTTAGCTCACCCCTGCCCACCATATCAGTCATTTACACCATAGTGCAAATGAGCCAATACCATCTTTTCCTGAGAACAGCCATTGCTGGGGGGAGAAGGAACAGACTGAAGGCCCCCAAAAGGAAACGGTTTTCAAATTCTGGAGCTGTAAGAGCTCAGAGGGATCCAGAGATCATTTCTCGTGTCTCTGATTCATTTTGCAGTGGAGAAAGTGGAGGCTCAAAGGAGAGGCTGCATGGTTTGGTGGTGAAAAATTTGGACTTGGAACCAGGCAGCCTGGGGCCTGACCACCTTGTCAATCTGTTTAACCTTCTCTGCCTCACTTTCTGCATTTATAAAATGGAGATGATAATGGTGCCCGCCCCGTAGGCCAGCGTGGGAATTAAGAGTTAAGGTCAGCCAGGTGCAGTGGCTCACGCCTGTAATCCTAGCACTCTGGGAGGCTGCGGCAGGCAGATCATTTGAGCTCAGGAGTTCAAGACCAGCTTGAGGAAGAGAGAAATCCTGTCTCGACTAAAAAAATAGAAAGAAATTAGCTGGACAACTAAAAAAAAAAAGATATATATATATATTAGCTGGGCATTAGATATATATATATATTAGCCGGGCATGGTGGCGCATGCCTGTAGTCCCAGCTACTCGGGAGGCTGAGGCAGGAGGATCGCTTGAGCCCAGGAGTTTGAGGTTGCTGTGAGCTAGGCTGACGCCACGACACTCTAGCCTGGGCAACAGAGTGAGACTCTGTCTAAAAAAGAGTTAAGGTCCAAGGAGGGCCTAGCGTGGGGCCTGGCACACAGTCAGCCCGCAGGAAATGTCATCGCACAGCTTGGAGCTGGGCCTTCAGTCAGCACGGGAGCTGCCCATGCGGAAGAGGACGGAGCAGGCAGTGACAGACGGTGACCTTTGCTGCTGATCCTGGAGGGGCCCCACCATCTGCTGGGCCTCGCACGGCCCCGCGCTCGCTCGTGTGGGCTCTGAGCAGCCAACTGAGCCTCCAGATGAGGAGCCTCTTGCTGTCAGCCTGGGCACGGGCGGGGCAGTGAGGGAGGGCGCTCAGTGTGCACTCCCAGCCCCGGGTGTGAGTGCTCCCGTCCCCAGTGGGCCGCAAGTGCCGTAAGGCTCGTGGCTGCTTCTGAAGCAGGGTCGGGGCTCGCTGGGGAAGCTTGGCGGCTTAGACATCTCGAGATGTTCTGTCCGGCACGTGGCTATTTTGCCTTCACAGTGTTTTCGTTGCGTGACAGGGGGAACCCTAGAGAGCCACCCCTCCCCTGTAGCCCACCAGTTTGGAAGGCGGCTTTGTCCCTCCAGCGCCATGCCACAAACTTGGAGGCACCCCTGGCCACCACCCTGCTGCCCCTTAGCAAGCCCTGCGGGCTCTGCTTTTGGAGCTCGTCCTCACCTGCCCATCCTTCCCTGCTCTGCCCCGCGGCTCTCCCCTGGCCCCGGTGGAACCCCCTCTCTCCTCTCCTGCGCCCAGCCAGCCTCTCCACGGGAAACCTTCACTCAGCAGCCGGCACGACCCTTCTAAAATCTGATGGAATCTACTTACCCCCACCGCAAACCTTTTATTGGATTCCTGTTGCTCCTAGATTAAAACGCAGGCTCCGTGCCTGTCCGAGAGGCTGGTGCTGCCTGATGCCCACCCCGTCTCTCCGGCGCACCCCACGCTGCTCTGTGTTCCTCGAAGACGCCATGCCGCTTTCCAGCCTCGGGCCTTTGCACCCGCTGCCC